TCGATTAATAAATTTATATTATAATACATAATCCTTCATCTATACATTTTACGAAAATTATTTTGATAACGGACAATTTAAATATAATTTATACCTTCAACAACGACCGGCTCCGAAGACGACAAAGAAAAGTTGCCACAATCGCGCTTTTTTTCCTTTTATATACCCGAAAGCTATACTCTCGCTACCAAAACTTACTGGTTGAAATTTTGTGAAGAAATTTTTTTTTATTTACAAAATAAACTAAATAAAACTTGTATATATAAATTGTTTACAAAATTAAAAGTGTAACGTTTCTTTAATTTTTTTCCGATATTTTCTAGGTCGCCAGTAGACGTTAAGTCGTTGAAATTAGTGACCATCGATCCGGTGATTTTCCGATATGGCGGTGATCTCTGACCCTTATTTTTTATCACCGCGATTTTTTCGGTGATGGCGATTACGTTTTCTCTGCCACCTAGCCCATCGCAATCAAAGTTTTGCCTACGATACGTTTTGCCAATCGTAAGCCCCGCGTTTCTTTACGCAGCGCTCGAGAAGCGCTTTACAGCCAACACACTGAAACTGGTTTGTAATTGGCCAACACTGCTCGTGACGTCATTTTACTACACTCTCGCTGCATAAAGAAATGCGGGGAAGTTCAGGGCCCGACTATCCTCGGGTCTCATACCAGCTCTCTAAGACCTCGTTTATGGAACTGGTAAATTTTACTGGCGCGTTATAGCTTCGCGGACTCCAGACAAATTTGAATTAGAGGCCCCGCGTACAGTGTCGACTTCAAATATTATTTTTCGGAAAAAACTTTTAGGGAATTCCCCGGTATCTTCGTTTCTTTTTTAACGCCACCTCTGACTCGTTAAATACTCTTTTTGCCCTGTGGGCACTAAGAGGGCCTCTTAAAGCAGGCCCACAATGGGGCGACCGGGTGGTGAGGGACGGGGTCCGACATATCTGACCGTTCAGATATGTCGGACCACCCCCGAAAAAATCCTGGGGATTCCTTGACCCGTCCGGATTCGTCCCCCAGAGCGGTAAGCTGCCACCTTGACCGCTCGTCCATCCGTCCTTGTCTATGATAAGTTACAAATAATATGTCGACAGAATTGGAACTCAGACTTTCACAATAGTAGACAAATACCTTAAAGATTTTAATAATAATTTCTTATCTGCAATGGCAATTTTTGGTAACCTAAATGTTGTCTTTTCTCTTTCTTCTTCTTCACATACCTTTTTTATTCTGCACTGGTAGCTTTCTGTTACTTCTTTCCTCCTGCGCCCTGCTGGCTTCCAAGAAATCGGGCTCAGTTCTATCTTTCTGTTTTGAGAGGAAAGATAATATTGTCAAATGATCGAAAATCTTTTCAAAAAAGGCCATTACTAATCGCTGCCAGAATGGAAGTAAACTACTAACAATAGAGTCGTTACCTCTGATAAAAATCAGCTAACAACTATCCTTCTATTGCTAACAAGGAGTTTTTCATTATGATTGGAAAAACACATTCTCTATTTTGACTTTTATGCGACTCGGGCCGCAGAATGCCCATCCCTTAGACTATGCCTACGACAACGAGTCGATCGCGACACATTTTTAAGATAAAAAGTAGATCTTATGTACACAAAAGTTGGCCACCCCTGCCATATCCGAATGTCATGAAATTTCATGACTTAACTAAATATTATATTAATACTTGTTTTTCAACGTGTTCGACTGAAAAAAAAAAAAAACATATTTTAAAATTAAATTCGCAAATTTCGATCACTTTTTACTTATGCAAAACCAAAAAATTCCAGATTCCTAATTAATTAAACTTTGATTAACTATAATACATTATTGACTTTTGAAATAATAAACACTACATTTGTTTAAAGATAGGGATTAAAGTATTTTCTTTAATTTTTTCCGCTCTGTGGGCACTAAGAGAACCTTCCTAGAGACCCATTACGGGTTTTTGCCAGGCCCAAAAAGGGACTGAAATTAATAATGCATTATTTTGGAAGTATAAAAAATTTATACATAAAATTAAGTGAAAAGTATTCAGCTGAATGGGAAAGTCCTGTGAACTTTAATCTATTGACTAGAAACGTTCCCCAATTTCTCATTGATAACGAGAGAAGCTTAAGTTTAAAATTTGAGCTTTCTAGGCCCGGTAGTTTTCTATAGGAGTGTCTGCAGTGGCAGATTGATTAATTAAGGAGAAAAGGACAAAAAAACAGCTGTTTTGGCAAAAATAAACATGCAGTTTACAACCTTCGGCGAAAATATTTTACGATTGACGATTACTTTATTAACAATTCGTATTTTAGTGTTAAAATGTTTATGAAAGGGAATCAAAGTAAAATTAGAAAAAATATTAAAACCGCGATAACCATGTCTTAGATTTATTGAAGAGTTTTTCTCTTATTTGTAAAATCCATGGCTTCTACTGTGTTGTGCATAATGCCACGTATTTCGTGAAATATTTTCGCTACATGCTGCAACAGGCTGTAAATTCACATATTGCAACACTTTGCTTATAAAAATATATATATTTCTAAACGCATTGTTTGGGTATTTGTGAGTTCTACGAACATTCTTTGTGTATAGTAACAATCAGCTATAAACAAGTAGCAAAAAATATTTTTGTTTTCTATTACAGGTAGGCCTCCTACAACGCGGTAGATACGTTCCTTAAAAATACCGCGTTGTGGGAAATCGCGTTATAGGAGACACCAACTTAATACAAAAACTGGGATTAGGTTCTAAAAAGAGAAAAACTTGGCATTTGAATGACGTTTTTTGAATTTTACAAACCAGCCATTGCTAACCACGACTTTAACACTGGTTTCATCAGCTGACGACTGTCCCATTTGTTTTAAATAATAAAATATTTTTAAGGCTTTGTGTTTAAGTGGACAGTAAAAATCGCAAAAAATAACTTCCTTTCATTATGTTGTTAAAAATAAACACCCAATAGAAGTTTATACTGTATTTTGGACCATGTTTGCGGTCCCAACTTATTGAAAGAGTATAAATGATGGAAAATTTAGTGATATATTTGAGTGTTTACGGTAACTGATGCACATCTGTCTAGAAACAGGTCTTCCCCTGAAACTTTCAAGGGAATAACATTCCAACGTCCACAAACAGCTGTTTTCAAACACTTTTAGCTCAATATGCCGAACTGCGGCTCGTATCACGTGATCCGTTGCAATTTTTCTCTTATGTGAAGATAATTCGTTTCTAAATACCGTAAACCGCGTTGTAACAAAATTTCCGCATTTTTCCAACCGCGTTAGAGCGAAAACGCGTTGTAAAGGTAACGCGTTGTAGGAGGCCTACCTATATTTTTAATGACAAATAAACTAAACTAATTCAGAATTCTTAAACAATTGTTTCTTACTGATTATAACAGAATTCACACCCATAAGAATTTGTTATAATCGGAAAAAACGTCAGAGTTTTTACTTCCAAAACAAGCATGTGATCTATTTACGACTATAAAAATGATCGATTTTAGATTAATTTAGTTATTTTTAAGGCTATAATTATTTTAAATGTTTAGTAATAATATATACGGATACGTATAAACATTTTAAATGATTATGACAAATGAGTAATCGAAATACTGCTTACTTATTATCTGCAGAATCATTAATTCAGTTATTTCCCACATGTTTAAATAAATAAATTCCAATACTGTTCATTCTACATAATAAAAGTTATTGCTATTAAAGTATTAAATCGATAATAAAACTATTTTATCGTGAAACTTTCCCATTCGTCAATTTGTATGTAAGAAGGAAATTTATATTCATACTGACTAATTGGATTTAAGTGTTTTGCTGCGTTTTATGCATATATGTTTTACATTATGAGAATTCGCCAGTTTGTCTGCTGTGTACAATCGGTAAGTAGATAACTTCTTACATACGATTCAACTTTCAAACTTTTTCATAAAAACTCTTCGATAATAACTTAAAAAATTATTATTAAAATCTTTAATAATCTGCAATGGCAATCTTTGGTAATCTAAATATTGTCTTTTCACTTTCTTCTTCTTCACGTACCTTTTTTACTCTGCACTGGTAGCTTTCTGTTACTTCTTTCCTCCTGCGCCCTGCTGGCTTCCAAGAAATCGGGCTCAGTTCTATCTTTCTGTTCTGAGAGGAAAGATAATATCGTCAAATGATCGAAAATCTTTTCAAAAAAAGGCCACTACTAATCGCTGCCAGAATGGAAGTAAACTACTAGCAATAGAGTCGTTACCTCTGATAAAAACCAGCTAACAACTATCCTTCTATTGCTAACAAGGAGTTTTTCATTATGATTGGAAAAACACATTCTCTATTTTGACTTTAGAAACGCAATAGGTACAAGAATTTCTCTGAAAAACAAATAAATTACGGCATGGCAATATATCAGCCATCTGCCAAAGAGTTGCATTCCGGGAAGAATTTTATTCCTATTTATATGTCAGACACGTGAAGAAAACACAAAATATTAAGCTGACCAGTCTCACGTCACACGTAAACCCACTATCAGTGTTCAGTGATTTTATCTATTCGGTCATTGGTGGGCTCGATTTGTAGCGAAAATACCTGCATACATATTTTCGATACATATTAACGTAATCCTACGTCTATATGCGATTGATATTTAAGTACATGTATATATTCGATCACTAAGCATACATTGAATACATACTGAATTGCATCAATTGTATTCGAATGCTACCATCTCGCAGGTCAAACAGATGTTTTGCAAGTACAGTGGGTGATCGGTTAACGAACATAATCCGTTTCAAGACTTTGTTCGTTAACCGATTATCGATTTACCGTAGGTTTTAATGGAAATTTAATTAATTCGTTCTGGAGACCCCCAAAAATAAAAAATATATACTTTCTTACTACGTTTATTTATATGTAATGATAAGAATACATACATACACAATCTTGATTTTTATTANGCACGCTTGCTTGTTTACTTTAATTAAAAAAAAATTAGGTGCGTGGCCCAGCAGGAAATATTATTTTTGAAATTTGGCCTGCCTGCTAAAAAGGTTGGCCACCCCTGGTCTAATATTTCTTCAGGTAGGAGTTTATCTCTTTTTAATGATCAATGGAATGGAAAAACGAATATTTCTCTTGAAGAGAGTGAAAAAATCCTAACGAAAATTCCTGATGACAATGAAAAAGGATATATATTAGAAGTTGATCTGGAATATCCTAAAGAATCACATGATTATCATTCTGATCTACCTTTAGCTCCAGAGAATAAGATACCAGATGGATCAAAACAAACTAAATTATTAACCACATTATATGATAAAAATAAGTATGTGCTTCATTATAGAAATCTTAAACAATATTTAAAAATGGGGATGAAACTTAAAAAGATACATAGAGTATTAGAATTCAAACAATCAGATTGGTTAAAGAAATACATAGATCTGAATACTGAAATGCAAACCAAAGCAACTAATGATTTTGAAAAGGACTTTTATAAATTAATGAACAACTCTGTGTTTGGTAAGACAATGGAAAATATAAGAAGTCGTGTTGACATAAGATTATGTTGCGAGGCTAAAAAAGTAGAAAAATTAATTGCTAAGCCAAACTTTAAACATCTAATCATATTTACCGAAAACCTATGTGCTATTCACATGTATAAGAAAAAATATGTTTTAATAAACCTATCTATGTGGGAATGAGTATATTAGATCTTTCGAAGCATTTGATGTATGATTTTCATTATAATGTGATGAAACCTAAAAACAGAGATAGCATAAAACCGTTATATCAGGATACTGACAGTTATATATATGATATAAAAACAGATGATATTTATCAAGACATGAAGGAAATGATTGATTACTTTGATACATCCGATTATCCCGAGAATAATCAATATGGTATACCGAGAGTTAATAAGAAGGTGTTAGGTAAAATGAAAGATGAAAATAATGGAAAAATAATGAGAGAATTTGTTGGTTTAAGAGCAAAAATGTATGCCTTAAAAGTAGAAGATCAGGTTACAAAGAAATCAAAAGGAGTAAAGAAATGTGTTGTTAAAAATAGGATATCATTTGATGATTATAAAGACTGCTTGTTTAATAAAACAGAGCATTCCCAAACAATGAATCTAATTAGAAGCAAGAAACATGAACTTTATTCAATAGAAGTTAACAAGAAGGTGTTATCACCACATGATGATAAGAGATATATATTGGAGGATGGAATTAACACATTAGAATTAGGACATAAATTTTTTCTTATATAAATGGACATAACAATAAAGAGCTGTTGATTGGGATGGTTTTTCTAAACGAGAGAATTTAACAGAATATCTAATAAGAGATTTTAAAGATGAAGTTAATTGGGATTCAATATCTCATAATCAAAAATCATCTGAATTTTTTATTAATGAATTTAAAGATAGAGTTAACTGGAAAAAAATATCAGAAAATCAAATTCTCTCCGAAAATTTTATAAGACAACATGATGATAAGGTTAATTGGAAACTCATCTCTACTCATCAAATATTATCTTCAGATTTATCTTTTTTTTTAATTCTTGAAGTTAGACTATTTACAAAAATATATTAACATTTTCAAGTCTATCATTAAATCCTTTTACACAAACCACAGAAGACACAGTTACATTGGTTAGAAGATAAAACTTCTTTAAAAGACAAATAATAAAAGGTAAAAATTCACAATTAAAAATGATCAAACGCCAGCCTTTTATTGTAGGATCTGACGTTTTTAACATTAAAAACATAAGAACCTTCTCACCAACTATCAAGTCCTTTTCCAAATTTTATAACTGGTTCATCCCTCTAGTGGTAGTTACGAGTCTATCATTTTCATTTGCATAAGTTCACAATGTTCAAT